AGCTGAGCTTTAGCAAAATTTTAAAGGTGGGAACTTCTGCAAGGTGACATTCCATTAAGCATATCTTTATAGAAAATGAATTATATCCTGAGTCATTGCAGTTGTATAAACTGGAGATAACCCTACCTTGGCAAATAAAGATCAACAAATTCATGCACTTTAAAGAGATACCCTGGGTCAGATGATCATTTACTTATCGGAAATGGCTAATGAAATGTTGCCGTGATTTATGGTGTGCTGTTGTAAATTTTCTCAATATAGTAATTTATCTTTCATTTTCAACTGCCTGTGCAGTTCATTTACTGGGTAATAGTTACTTTAAATGTTTTATCAACTGCTTCATTTTTCTGTTCTTCTCTTCCTTGAAGATTCTTATCATGATGAGTTAGGGAGTAATACTTCATTTTAAATGACTTGTCTGTACTATGAGTAGTTCAGAAATATAGGCAGAGTAGCTGTAAAGGGAAGCACAATCATTAATCTGAAATATCTATGTTGGATTGACTCCTGCTGTTATTATCAAGAACTGTAAAAATGTTATAGCTTTTTTGTTATAAAAGTACCTTTTAGATTAATGTATGAAATATATGAGGATCACAAGGCATAGCAGCATGTGTATATTTGTAATTAGAAACGTTATTTATTAAGTATTGTCTGTGTCTCAGAAATTGGATGGTGGAAAATAACTATCTCTGTTCTAATGAACTTTGTTTAGCAAAATTTATTGACTACCTTCTGGGTGTACAGTACTCCACTAGATTTTAAGAAATCTACTTTCATAGTGAATATGCATATTTTAATATTATTTAAGAAATATTTGTTGAGTGTTAACTATGTGAAGTTTATTAAATTTTATTATAAAGTGTATTTATATACTTGACAAATTTCCAGACCCATGGCCACCTTTATAAGCTATCTATGAACATTTGTGCAATGTATTTAAAATGCATACTGGATATATATCTCTTAATTATATTTTGTTAAAGAATTAAATGGAGACACAGTCCATAATTTTAAAAAAAGGAAAATGCAGAGTTTTGAAACCACATAACATTATAATATAATCTTATTAGCTTCGTAACTTAGAAAAGAAATATATTATCTTCTAATTAAAGTAGAAGTGTTTATGAATGATGTTAAGAAATTAATAGAATGGGAGTTTTCAGTGCTCATTTCTCATAGAAACATGATTTAAACAACCATCTGTATACAAAAAATATACCTTTACAAGGGTATAGCTGGTCTACATATTTTCAAATGTAATTTTTAATATACTGTTTTCTAAGGAATATGACAGTATTTTACATCTAACTGTTTTTAATGTCCTCCTTGCTATCATTTTCAGAAAGTAGCACCTTGGGTTGGCTTGCGCAAGATCAACATATCCTACTGGGGCTGGGAAGACATGTCTCCCTTTACAAACACAACACTGCAGTGGCTTCCCGGTGAGCCCAACGATTCTGGGTTCTGTGCATACCTAGAAAGGGCTGCAGTGGCGGGCTTAAAAGCAAACCCTTGTACGTCTATGGCAGATGGCCTTGTCTGTGAAAAACCTGTTGGTAAGTAGTCCAGTAGACTAGTATTTCTTTAAAATATGGTCCCACCCCTCTCTCCACCATCCCTTCCAGAGTGAGACGGTTTGTGGGCCTGGAGTAACTTTGGCTATCTTCTCATGATGCTGATCCCCATGTAGATTTGAAATTTATCCACATTCCTCACTTACTGCTAGCGACCTTAGCATTAACTTGTGAAAATGATACATTTTATTGCCTAAAACAGTCTTTACTTTTTTGGTTGAAATAGTGAGATTTTGAACATATGGTTATAGTTGATTATAGTATATTAAGAATCTATTCTTAATGTGTTAATGTCTTTTACTTTTATAATAATAGCTTTTGGAAGAAAGATTTGTCTTTAAGATTAACAACTAATTTAGAACCACTTTAATCTTACATATCTAGTATTTCAGTTGAAAGGTAAAAAGAGGCATTTCTGTTACATTTTGTGGAATGGATTTAATTAAATGAAGTAAGAAAAGAATATTAAATTATTTTCTCTTTTTAAAGATTGTATGTTTTGTTGCAGTAATTTATAATAAAATTTACAAGTTTAACCACATTTTTTCAGTTTTACTGAGACATAATTGACTTTTTAAACCATTTTCAATGTAGAGCTCAGGGTCAGTAAGTAGATTCCCCTGTTGTGCATCTGTCAATACCATTAACTCCAGAACTTATCTCCCCAAACTGAAACTCTATACCCGTTAACCAGTAAGTCTTTAAACCGCTGTTCCCTGCCCCTGACAACCACCTTGTACTTTCTGCCTTTATGAGTTTGACTACTGTAGGCACCTCATATGTGGAATCATAAGGGTTATGTCCTTTTGTGATGCTTATTGGCTCTAGCACAATGTCCTTAAAGCCCATCCGTGTTGTAGCATGTGTCAGAATTTGATGTCTTTTCAACCCATTGCATGTGTACACCACATTTTATTTATCTGTTGGTCCACTGATGGATACTTGAGTTGCTTCTCCTATTGGCTATTGTAAATGATGATGCTATGAATATAGGTGTACAAATATCTGTCTCAGTGCCTGCTTTTCCATCTTTAGCCAGAAGTGGACTTGCTACATCATATGGCAATTCTATGTTTAATTTTTGAGGAATTGTCATGCTGTTTGCCATAGATGCTGTACATTTTACATTCCCAGCAGCAATGTACAAGGATTCTGAGTTGTCCACATTCTTGTCAACATTTTAAAAAAATAGTAGTGATTCTAATGGGTGTGATAAATACTATATTTTAGTATAGCAGAGATTTTATAGTAAATTATTTTATTTTTTAGGTTCATATAAGCAACATATTCACTGACAGGACATTTGCTTTGATAGGGTACATGGTATTTAGCTAATAGATAGAATAGTTAGGTCATGTATTAGATTTATATTTATAGTTTTTAAGTTATACATCTTTATGTACCTTGTAAAGGATTAAACATTCCTAGAAATTATAAATTTTAAAATAAATTTAAGAAGTATTGACATATCTTTACTTTTTAAAAAATTACTGCATTTATTGGGGTGACATTGGTTAACAAAATTAAGTAGGTTTCAAGTGTCCACGTCTATAATACATCATGTATATTTTGTATTGTGTAGTTCATTTTTAACCTTATCATGCCATTTTTGCTTAAATTTTTATTCCTCACTTGGCTTAATGGAAATAGTCCCTGAACAGCAAACCCCATTCTCTTGTGCCAAAATACAGTTACAAATGAAAGAATTATGTTGTTGGTTTATTTCAGTCAGTCCAAATCAGAACGCGAGGCCGTGCAAGAAGCCGTGCTCCTTACGGACCTCGTGTTCCAACTGCACCAGCAACGGCATGGAGTGCATGTGGTGCAGCAGCACCAAGCGCTGCGTGGACTCCAACGCTTACATCATCTCCTTCCCATACGGACAGTGTCTGGAGTGGCAGACCGCTACCTGCTCTCGTAAGTGCTTATGTACAGGGGCTGTTCATTCAACAGCGACTTCAGTCACTATTCTACGATGGGCAGAGGAATTAAACATTTGAGGAAGTTTTAAAAAATGAGAAAAAATGGTGTTACAGCTCATTTTAAAACTTTAGTGCTGTGACCTCCTGATTTATATTATAGTGTCATTTTGAATTCCACTAGGTATCTGCCCCAACCTGTTAACATTTTGCGCATTTGTCATTCCCTGACTCTGAGTGCATGTTGCAAACAGCATAACATTTTCAAGGTCACAGATTGCTTTGCTGTGTTTCTTTAGTGTCCTTCAACCTAGGCCAGTTCCCATGAGTTCCCTGTCTTACATCTGTACCAGTTGTTTTGTAAGTTTCACAATTTGGATTTGTCCAGTTGTTTTTTCATGATTAGATTCAAATTAGCCTTTTTTAATTATTAGATTCAAGGTAAGCATTTTGGGCAAGAATATCATATCCGTGGTGGCACAGCTGCTACAAAGGCAGGCTTACAGTCTGGGTTGTCATCACAAGGTGAGTGGTGTCAGCAGGGTGGTTCTGGGCTGGCAGGAGGAGATCCTGGCCCCTTGTTGGAGTTGTGTTTCATAAGGACTGTAGGATGACGGTGCTTCCGGTTACTGGGTACAGCGTGGTTATGAGAATGGCTTTTCTTGCGAAGACAAATTGCATCAGGATATCACTGCCAAGGGAATTGCATACTACTACTGATGGCACTTGGTGGCCTTGTAGGAATTTGAGACAATGTGTGACTACCTTTGTGGGAGAATTTAGAAGCTACTTGTCTCAGCTAGCTTCCTGCTCGCAGCGGCTTCCTTCCTGGAAGCAGCCACGTGCTGGTTTCCTGGAAGTGCGGGCCATGACAAGGCCTATTCTGAAGTACCTTCTGGGCCTGCTTAGAGCCCCTGGCTGCCTGGCATTCCTTCCATAAGAGCAACCACTGGCAGTGTGGCTGTGATGCAGTGTCACTGTCCCCGCAGCATCATGCATTGTCTACCCATTTATTCTCCCTTCCATTATTCTAAGCTCTCTTGGTTTTCCTCCAAGAGGAAGAGCCACTTCCCCAAAGAGCAGCTTCATAATTCTGAGGCCCCTGTTGGTGGTGAATCTACTGTTTTGAGGCCTGCGCTGGGGCCCAGTGGACCTCAGACCACATGGTCACCCAGTGGTCAGCCCTTGTTGCTCAGATGAGTAACCTCACTCAGAGGTGGTTGTCTGCTTAAGACAGTGCAGGTGGAGGCTCACTGGTTTTTCCAGGGAGGATGGACTTTACCCAGGGATCCAGCCAAACCCGTATTTGTTTCTTATTGGGCACCGCTGTGGCATGGAGACTGACCCTGTCGGCTAGCTCTCCCAGGCTGTGTGGCTCTTGGGTACATTTGTTGCTCCAGACTCTTGGCATCAAGTGAGAGGTGCTCCTGGAATGGGCTTGGCTGGATATATTTTAGGTTGAGCCTCTCTGTTTCTGCTCTTTCTTCGAACTTTGGTAAGGAATGGTGATGTACAGGATCAAGTGTGTGGAAATGGGGTAACTGCAGGCATAGCATGGTCTCACTAGCACAGAAAGTATCTCATAACTAGGAGCCCGCTGCTGAGGGGGTTGAGTACCAGTGCTGGAGGCTGGTGGGGAGTTGAGACAGTGCCCAGCCCCTCTTGCCTCCATAGCCGTGTTTGTCCATAAACTTTAACGGTCAGTGAAAGAAGCCAAACACAAAGATTACATACTGTATGACTCCGTTCATATAAAGTTCAGCAGTACTGAAAGCTGCATTATATTGTTTAGGAATGATTATTCAGGTGGGAAAACTATAGAGTAAGGCAAAAAGTTATTCTTCTAAATGTCAGTGGGTACTGCTGGGAAAAGATTGGGGGTGCTGATTAAGAAAAGGGAACAAAGGAGGCAATGTTGCATTTCCAGGCTGGGTGCAGGTACAAAGCATTTATTTACACCTAGAGGCCTGTTGCATGAATTTGTGCATGGGTGGAGTCCAGCCGGCCCACCATGATGGGGGCCAATTGGGGCCAGGCTGGAGGAGGGGAGGGGCCACAGGTGGTTGGCCGGCTGGCCCCGCCCACAATTTGGCCAGTAGGTTGACCGCAGTGGGTGTCATAAGGAGCAGTCATTCTGGTCATTCCAGTGTTCTGGTCGCTGGCTATATATACTAGAGGCCCAGTGCACAAAAATTTGTGTACTCAGGGGGGCTGTTCCTCAGCCCAGCCTATGTCCTCTCACAATCTGGGACCCCTTGGAGGATGACCACCTGCTGGTTTCAGCCTGATCCTGCAGGCTACACCCCTTGGGAGGGCGCCAGATGCAGGGCTCACAGCTGGTGAGCGCTGTTGCAGCAGCGCAAGCCTCTCCCGATTGAACTGATTGGGTGCAAGCCCGTGGCAGGCACAATGGGGCCAGGATGAGCAGGAGCGGCAAGTAGGAGCTGCAGGCGGCGTTGGACTGCGGGTTTCAGCCCGATCCCTGCAGGCCACCCAGAGGGACCTCACCCGTGCACAAATTCATGCACCAGGCCTCTAGTGAGTGTGTTGGGAGCAACCCAAGCCTCCTGCTGCTCCAGCTCAGTGGCCGCCGCCATCTTAGTTGGGTTAATTTGCATACTCACTCCTGATTGGCTGGTGGGCGCCGCTGGTGGGTGTGACTGGTGGGCGTGGCTTGAGTGTAGTGGACTGTTAATTTGCATGTTTCTCTTGTTATGTAGGATTATATAGGATATGTATTTATATATATTATATATAATTTATTACTGTACTACATTATGTTGTATTATGATTTATGTACTTCTTTGTATGTTTTATGTATATTTTATAATTAAAAAGGCTAAAAGGTAGGGAAATGGTACCCAAGCTCTCATGCTGTTAAGAAGTTTCTAAAAATTATTTAGAATTAGATCTAAATTGTTTTCTGTACTCACTAATCTTTCTTGTATTTCATTCCCACTTATCTGTGCATCTTTTGGAGAACAGTTTAGTAATTCTTTCTAAATATACTTGTGGCTAGAAGCTTTTTGAGTTTTGCATGTCTAAAGTGTATTTTCTATGTTCACTTGAATGAAATGACTGGAACTTGGAGTTCTGAATAATTCTTTCCTGAGAACTCCTAGCATTCGACGTGGATGAGATTCTCAGACCAACTTAATTTCATTTCCTTGTGGAACATTTTTTTCTTTACTTTGAGAGCTTTTAAATTGTTTTCTTTATGGCTGGCATTCAAAATTTTGCATTTCGTTTAAATTCAGTTTTCCAGGAGTTGATGTGGATTTTAAAATTGACTATCATTGTTTTTCCATCTGAAGAGTAGTTTCTTCACCTGTTAAAATGTTCTTTAATGTCTGAGATGATTTTTTCTTCTATTTAATACATCCACAAGAGTAAATAGTTGTTAGAATTTCTAGTTATTTCAATATTTTTAAATTTACTTTTACTTTCAATTTTTTTGCTTAGGTTTTGCTCCATAGCATTTAAAATCATATGCCCTGTGCATTCTTGTGGGGAAGTGGGACATTGTACTTATCTCATTTGAGGTTTTCTAGTAATTGGAACTTGAAGGAAACGTCTCTTTGCAAATGAGAAGCAAATATAGATTTTGCAGTATTCTTCAGTATTTACCAGTTATGATATTGTGATAGGAATGCTAAAAATTCAGAAATTGAAGAAAAGAAATATATTTTAAGACAAATTTTGCCTAATGGTTTTTAAGAAAACTTTGCTAATAACTGGAATTATAAATAATATACTTTAAGTAGTTGGATATTCTATTTGTGAAAATGAAATGCAATGGGATTATTGAAAGCAATAATAGAAGATTTAGTTCTTAATATATAAAAGTTCAAATAAAATGTAATTAAATGGATATGGTAAAATGGAATAATAAGAAACATAGAATATAGTATACATCTCACAAATCTATATTTCTTTCACTATTTTACAGGTTTATGTATATGCTCAATTTATACTTTTTATTCTTGGCAGTTAGGGAAGGTAATCTTTTGTTTAAATCAATTCTTTCTTTCATGAATTGTGCCTTTGGTGTCATAACTAAAACAGCATCACACCCAAGTTCATCTAGATTTTCTTACATGTAGTTTTGCTTATGTCACCCAGCTCTTCTTCCATGCTGTCAGCTTTATCCAGGAGAGCTCATAGCCTATGAACCATCGTTTTAAATTCCTGTTCTAGTAATTCCAACATTCCTGTCATGTCTGGTCTGATGCTTGTTCAGACTCTTGAATCTCTCTCTTTGTTTTTTTGCTTTTTGATATACCTTGTAATTTTTCTTGATAGCCAGATTTTATATGTGAGTATAAGAAACGGCTATAAATTGGCCTTCAGTTATGTAGTGGTGAGGAATGGGTGAAGAGAAGTATTTTATGGTTCGATGATTAGGTCTCCATCTTTTCACGAGCCTGTGCCCCATACTGTGAATTTCACCAGTGCTTCTCAGTTTCCTCCTTCTCTTAGGTGGTAAAGGATGGCTGGATGGAGCCAGAGGTTGTGTATTTCTCTTTCCCCACCCATGTTAGAGTTGGGTGTCTCCCTTTAATCAAGTTAGGTAGATGCTCCTAAACCCCAGCTGCTCGGCCTCTGTTAAGAAGAACGGGCTGTTCTGGCATATTTTAAAGTGGTTCCCTTTCCTCTCCTTCTGGGAGCACAAGGGGCTTTTTCTTATATTTACTTTGAGGACCTGGAGATAAAGCTCATAACAGTGTGGGATTCCTCCAATCACTGGGTGCCCTGGAGAGTTTAACTCTCAGAGTGTCCACAGTCAGCTTCCAGCAGTTCCTCAGTCACAGGTCAGGTTTTCAGACTCTGACCCTGAGTCCTGCAGAGTAAATTGTGATGTTCTCCATCCACCTGTCTGCCTCTCCAATTTAGGGGATAGTGCTTTACCCTATGACCTCACAACTCTGATGGATATAAGAAGAATTGTTCATTTTCCAGTTTGTGCTACTTTTTACTCTTTGTTAGGATGAATGGTGACTTCTAACCTCATTATCTGCTGGACTGGAAACCGGAAATTGTCAGTAATCATTTGATGACATAAATTCTTGCAGATTAATTTTTCAAATTCTTATATATTTCAAAAAACATTAAATACTTTACAACTTAATCTTTCAAAAAGCCAAAAATAAATAAAATAAAAATGATTGCTCTGATTACTTGTAGATCATACATAGTCTTTGTACCATCCATAATTTACGAAGCTTTTCTATTATTGTTTTCTGTAAGAAAAAGAAAAACCAATAGAGTCTGTCAGTTTTTGAGTCAGCATTGAAAGCTAAGGAATGAATTTCCTACAGGGTTAACATTAGTCACTTGTGTTTAATGACTCAAAGAATATTCTTTCTTTTATAATTTATTATTAAATAAATATAGGAGATGGTACTCATTTTCCACCTTTTTGCTTCCAATCTCTGAAATGCTTAGCATGCAACAAATTCCTAACAACAAATCATATTGTAATAAATGAATTTTTAAATCTAATATTCTATTATTCCTGCATGGTCCTCTATATTGAATTCTTGATGTTCAGTTTTGCCATTGTTTACAGAAATCTCACTGGGTACATTTTGTACCCCGTAATATTAAAATACCAAGTGGCAATTAAGTTATTATTACCACAAAGTGAAACTGAATCTGCCAGAAATTTACTAGAAGAAATTTTTCTTAGTGCCTTGTCCCTGTGTCACCATCTTTTGTGGATACGCAATTCCCAAGACAAAGTGTGCCTGTTTTAGCAAAGTATCGGTACTCAAAGAGCACCTCAGCCCAATATAGGTTACTCTGATTATGAAATAAAATTTTTAAATATTACATAGGAACTATTACGTGATGGCAGACTACAACAGGTTCATCCTTGGAAAAGGCTTCCCAGTATTGATAGCCTTTCTGCCCTGAAAGTCAGAGACAGCCTGTCTGCTGGTTGCCTGACGGAGGCAGAGGATCCAAGTTCCATGTTCCCATCCAGATGGCTCTTTGGGTGGAGACTGAATTTTACTCTTCACAGGACAGCCACATACTAGCATCTTGGACCCCTGGATAGAGCATCGTCCATACGAGACAGTCCTAACGTGGCTCCGCCATCACAGGGATGGGCAGGCATCACAACACTGACCATTCCCCGGCAGACTGTAGATTTTCCTCGAAGGCCTTCACTAGGCACAACAGAGGCGAACGTGGCTGTACGTCACAGACAAAAGAAGTGTGGGCTGTAGGCTCCTCATAAGCTCCCCGAAGGTCCTAATCCTGGCAAAGCTCAGGAGACTAAGTTCTGACTTCATTTTTCTCCATGTCATAGTCACCACCATTTCTAACCCTCATGTCAGTCCATTTATCTCCTCATTGTTCATGATGAATGTTCTCTTTGCTTTAAGCAGTTGCTTTCTTAGGCATTATTGCCAAGATGTTTAAACTACAGCTGACCTTTTACAGTCTTCTTTTCTCAGCTCTTATTTATTTCTTCGTTAGCTTACAGTTCTACGTGAGTATAAAGCCATGTAACGTGTCTGTTAATGTTCCTGTCACACAGCTCAGAACTGTTCTGGATTGAGAACCTGTGGACAGTGCCTGGAGCAGCCTGGGTGTGGCTGGTGCAATGATCCTAGTAACACAGGAAGAGGTCACTGCATTGAAGGATCTTCGCGAGGACCCATGAAGCTCGTGGGAACACACAGCAATGAGATGGTTCTTGACTCCAGTCTTTGTCCAAAAGAAAAGAACTATGAATGGTCCTTTATCCAGTGTCCAGGTAAGAAATGTGTGATTGTAGCAATTGCGGTTTTTCAGACAATTCAGTTTTTCAACCAAAATGTTTTTTCAATTTCAAAACCAAGGATATTTTTTTTCTTTCTTGTAATAAAGATTTAGAAAAAGGATAATAAGATGAGGCTCAAAATTCAGAGATAAAAAAATTTTTTCTCTATATCCACTTCGTTGTATTGATGGTATTCTGTTTGGAATTGTTAAATAGGCTAACCAGATGCATTGCAAATAATTATTAGATTTGGTTTCATATCAGTTTTTAAGAGGAAATAATATTGGCTTATGCCTGTTTTTTATCTGAGTATTATATCTTAGATTTCAAAGGTAACTCCTAGGATTCAGTCAAACTTCATGGTAAGAATAGGAATTTTTCTCTCTAATACCTATGATGGTGTCACCTGGCCTCATTTTGAAAGTTGTCTTTGGTATTCACTACCATTCATTTTTGAAGGTCAGTAATTACTAGATTTTAGGATTTGTTTGTGTTTGTTTGTCTTTTAATCCATATTTTTGTTGAGTGCCTAATATGTGCTAAGGAATATTTTAGATGCTAGAGATACAACAAATAACAAATAAGTATAAAATCATTCATGGAGTCTATATTCATGGAGCCTGTATTCTCATTGAAGATACGCATACACATATGATGTTAGATGGTGATAGGTGCTATTAAATAAAGAAGGCCAGGAAGGGTGAATGTAGTTAGCCATTTAAAATAGGGTGGTGAGAAAAGATCTTCCTGAGAGGGGATTTGTAATAAACGCCTTCAGTAGAGGAGGGAGAGAATGCTAGGAGTATTCGGGAAAGAGCGGTCTAGAAGAGGAATCATCCGGACACAAGGACCAGATAAGATAGTTACTAATGACTGTGGTGGTTTTAACTATATCCACAAACTCTTTGACACTCCTAACATAACACAGAAATCCACAGCTAATAAGCCAAGAAATTAGATAAAATGAAATAATATTTAATGCAAGAGAAGGCAGAACAAGAGAAAAAATGAAATATAGAAGAGATGGGACAAATAGTTAACTAATATCAAAATAACAGTTTTAAGCTCAGTCATTTCAATAGCTATGCTAAATGTAAATAACCTAATCACCTCAATAAAAGGGCTGATGTTTTCATATCAGCTAAAAAAGCAAGGCCCAACTATAGGCTGCCTATAAGAAATCCATTTAAAATATAAAGACACACTTATTTTAAAAGTAAAAGAATGGAAACAGTTATACTATGAGAACATAAATCAAGAGAAAGGTGAATTGGCTATATGAATATCAGACAAATAGTTTCCAGAGCAAAAAAAAGTGTCCCTTTATAAAGATAAATGGGTAAATTAATAAAAAAGACATAACATTTCTAAATATTTTCACCAATTAACAGACTTTCAAAACAGGTGAAGATTTAGTGGTGGATGATCAAGAATCCTCTTTTAATATCCAGAGACATTATAGGTTACCACTTCCTACTTGGATTTGTGTGGCTGGTACTATACCTTTTATTTGTTTTTCTCTTACCCCTGTATTTTTTTTTGGGGGGGGGAGGGGGGTTCTATTAATTTTCTATTGCAGCATTAATATTACCATAAACTTAGAGGCTTAAACAATACCCGTTTATAGTTCACAGTTCTGTATGTCTGAAGTTGGGGCCTGGCCTGGCTGGCTTCTCTGCTCCAAGTCTCAAGGGCTGAAACCAAGGTGTCGGGCAGGCCGAGTTTTGTTTGGAAGAATCTGCTTCCAAGGTCATCCATAGTGTTGGTGGAATTCAGTTCCTTGTGGTTTTAGGACTGAGGTGCCTGTTTTCCAGTTGGCTGTCAGCCAGTGACCACTCAGATTCTAGGGAATGTTTACATTCTCTCACACATGGCCCCCTCCCTTCCCCCCTTCATCACCAACTCGCAATGTAGAGTCTCAAAAACTCAAATGGATCTCTCACACTTTTAATCTCTTCAAGTGGAGTCCAGTTCCTTATAAGGCTTCACCTGATTGGGCCATCCAGGATGATCTCCCTTTTAAAAACTCAGCTGGGCATGTAACATACCTAATCATAGAGTGACCATCCCATCACATGCACAGGTCCCTCCCACACTCAAGAGGGCACCATCATGTTTGACTAAATAACTGGGTACTGTAACCTAGCTTCATTGACACATAAGAGTATCACATCATACAGCTTACCCATTTAAAGTCTATAACTCAGTGGTTTTTATTATATTCACGGAATTATGCAACTATCACTACAATAAATTTAAGAAGAGGGAAGGCAGGGGAGGGTGGGTGGGAAGCGATCAACCAATGAACTTGTATGCTTATATGCATAACCCTTGGACACAGACAATGGAGTGGTGAGGGCCTGGGAGGGGAGAGAGGTAGGGAGTGGGCTGAAGAGGTTAAATGGGGGGAAAAGGAGAATCTATGTAATACTTTCAACAATAAAGATTTAAAACAACAACAACAACATTTTTGCCATTCCCCAGTAGAAACCTGATACTAACAGTCACTGCATGTTGAACCCCCTCTTATTCTTGTGAGCTGTAGGCAACCACTAATCTTTGTATCTCTATAGATTTGCCTATTCTGGATATTTTATGTAAATTGAATTATACAATTGTTGTCTTTTGGGACTGGCTTCTTTTCCTATGCATAATATTTTCAAGTTTTATTCATGTAACAGCATGTCTCAGTACTTCACTTTTTTACCAAATAATATCCTATCTAATAAAAGACAAAAATGGTAATTGGCGTACGAC